AAAAAAAAAAAAGCATATTGTTAATATTCAAATGAAAAAAAAATGTACCAATTATTGAATATTAAGTACTAAGCAGTATTCAAGCCAATTTATATCATCTCATTTAATTCTCACGACAACTTCGTATAGCCAGGGAAACTGGGGCTCAGAAACTAGTTATAAGCTCAAGGTCACAGAACAAGTGGCTGGCTTTGGAATTGAAGGCAGGTCTATGGTCTTTCCTCTGTCCTATGCTTTCTTCTTTAATGTGTGGTGCTATTTGCCAATAGGCACATAAGTTTCAAAAAATAGAAACTATGATTTCCGGTGAGAGCAGAGGGCAGAGTGAAGCGTGTCCTCTCAGTTTCTCCAATAACGTCAGTCCCTGGGAGGTACCAGACTGTGTGTAGAAGGGCTCATAATATTGTGGACCTGTTGTTAAGGAAATTCTACTGTGTGTACTTAGGGCTTTAATATTTTTTTTTTAAAAAAGCAGATAACAAATGTAAGGAGAAATAATAGCTTACTTAGTATGGAATAATCCAGACTTTAAGTTTTGGGGAAAAATTAATGTTACCTATTTACATTTTCTATATTCTTTTATACCTAAATCACATTGATTTTGATTATGCCTTAAATGTCTTCAAAAATTAGTTGCCTTTTAAACTTCATTTGGAAGTGCAATTGGTGAAGAAACCATCCTTAACCCATCTCCTGCCATAGACCCTTTCCCAGCACCTGTTTTGATGAGCATGCGCTTTGGAGTCAGGCAGACCTGACTTTGAATGCCAGCTCTGTAATCTGAAGGAAAGAATCCCTGTCTTAGAGGGTTGCTTGGTCTAGGTGAGATCTTATGATTAGAGTTTAGTCAAGTAGCGCCAGCAAGAACTATCACATGCATACATATATGTGAATGCATGCGTTTGTTTATTCTTGCCTCCTTCCTCGACTTCCGTGTTCTTTGTTTCACCCTGTGATCCAGAGAGGTTGGGCAATGGTTCTCAATTGAACTTTGCTTTTCTTCTTTCTTTGCCCTGTGCCTGGATTTCTGTGAAGACCTTTTGCCTCCTTACTAATGAACACTCCAGAATTCTGGTCTGGCTTGCTATTTGCCCTGTTGCTGCAAGTCCCTAGATGAATACCCTGAACTTTCATAGGGAAATAACATGACTATTGGGTATATTGAAAATGAAACGAAAGGGCACGGATCAATAACTTTTCTGCAAATCTCATTACAGTACCCTTAAAAGCAATGTGTCTTTCATAGGATTTTGACCTCTTCCTCTTCCATTCCTAAGCCCGTTCCAGAATTCACAAGTAGAAATTACAGCTATGGAAGTGGAAATTCAGCATACTGCCCCAGGAAATAATAACTGTTTCCCTGTGAGGAATGAGTCAGCAGCAGGGTCTCCTCCCCACCCTCTTTAAGTTTTGTTGTCGTCCGTATTTAGAGGCTGTTGTGGGTAGGGTATCTTTGACACTGGAAAGTAAACCAGCTGCTTGCCCTGGTTTCTGGTGTATCACATGATCCCATTTTATAAATGACCAGATCTGAAAAACTGGGCCGAAACTATGGTGAGATAGAATAATACAGAGAAAGCAAACATTTGGGGTGAAGCACTCCTCTTGGAGATGAAAGATGAAAGTCTTGGGCTGGGATTCCAAACGACTGATAGTTTCATGCTAGTCTATGAGGGCTCTGTGCTTTCAAATGCTTTAAAACTCACCAATTAGTGACCTTGGGAACGTCATTCAAAAGTGATTGGCACTATTACTTCCAGAGGCTGAAAATTTTAGAAGGGATGTTGTCAGATTATCCCTTGCAGCCTGCATGGTACTTTGTGTTCATTAAACTGTACTGGGATGTGTTAGTGGCATTTATCTTAGAAAGAAGTCAAGTCGCAAAGCTTCATATTATTTACCATCCAGGGCATCTTACGCTAAATTACCAGAATCTGTTTTTCTTAAAGTTGGGGTGTAGGCAAAAAGAGCCACAAATCCTTTTTTTTTTTTTTTTTTAACATTTATTTATTTTTTGGGACAGAGAGAGACAGAGCATGAACGGGGGAGGGGCAGAGAGAGAGGGAGACACAGAATCGGAAACAGGCTCCAGGCTCTGAGCCATCAGCCCAGAGCCCGACGTGGGGCTCGAACCCACAGACCGCGAGATCGTGACCAGGCTGAAGTCGGACGCTTAACCGACTGCGCCACCCAGGCGCCCCAAGCCACAAATCCTTTTTCCCCACTATGCACGTTCTTTCCCTCACCCCCCCAGTGAAATAACCTCTTTCAGATCATAAGCATATAAATGCTGCCGTGAGGCAAGACACCATTACTATAACTTTTCTTAAAAGTCTCATTGTTCAGCATCATCTTACTAAATATATTCTGGTTGTGATGCATTGCAGGCCTGTTTTCATTTGTCTTTATGGAAAGAGAGTTTATATGGTGTGCTATTCTTCTGGAAAAGTAGAAGGAACCAGGCTACTGAATGGTCATGTTTCACTTCCTGCAGAGAGAGCCAGGATACTTCCTCAGCCAGTTTGTAAAAATCACTTCGGTGGCCCACTTGTTTCCCGACCCCCCCACTCCTGACGATCTGTTGTCTGTGTCTCCTTTCATTCATTCGCAACCTGTCTGGTGTCCATAAACCTCTACTTACTTTTGCAGAAAAATACTCAGATGGTCTTGTTGCCAACTTGATACAAACATTAGGGCAACATGTGCTTTTTGCTAATCTCCCGGAAGCTCTCGCTACCCATAATTTCCTCAGAAAGGCAGCCGGGGTCTTCAGTTTCAGATGCTGAATGTGGTCTCCAGTCTGCGCAGCACCTTACCGATTTCTTCCATCTCCTGCTGCCTAATTGTTGATTCTTTCCTCAAATCTAGCTCATGAGCCTTTCATACCATTTTTGAGCCTAAGAAGCTGGAAGAAGTTCTTTAATAATTAACAAATAGGAAAAGCATGAGGAAGAGCTAAAAGAAATAAAATCCTCTCAGAGGTGCAACGTTAAGACGATGGAGGAAAGAGGGGCGCCTGGGTGGCTCAGTCGCTTGAGCATCTGACTTCGGCTCAGGTCATGATCTCATGGTTCGTAAGTTCAAGTCCCACATTGGGTTCTGTGTGGACAGCTCAGAGCCTGCAGCCTGCTTCAGATTCTGTGTCTCCTTCTCTCTCTCTGCCCCTCCCCCGCTCATGCTCTGTCTCTCAAAAACAAATAAATGTTAAAAAATAAAAAAAAAAATAAAAAAAGATGACGGAGGAAAGAAAGATGTGGGAAAAGACAGTGATTGGCGTGCGTGAGGCAGCTCTTCCATCTATTTGAAAATGGTCCTTTTTCAATGTGGAGGCAGCCGATCGTGCAAGAGGCGATGGAGGGCTGCTCCACTTCGGTAAACCTGCTGGTCTTGGAGAGGGCAGGAGGGATTGAGTCCGTGGAAGCCGTGGCGGGTTATGGAGACCTTTTTTCCTTTTGGAAGGTCCTTTTGCCGTGTTCCTCCATCTTGGTTACGAATGAAGGGAGCTTCAGTGTCTGATCTAAAGAGAGCTAAAGAGAACATTGCATATTCTGTGCTCACTGTGATAGGAAAGAAAGGTTTGTGGAAGACACGGGAAAGAAATCTGCTTTAACGCTAAAAGTAGTTGTGTTTGGATAATAAGGTTGTAGATCTCCCCCCCCCCCCCCCCCCCCATTTTGTAACTGTTAGGAAGTCTAGTAAGAAATAAATTCATTATTTAAGAATTAAAGTACTAAAGTTATTTTCATCAGAAAAAAAATCATTAAAAATGAAAATGCCTACTGGGGGTATCAGTATGGAAAAATGTAATAATTGTCGGCAGGCCGACTGGATCGTGACTGTTAGATTACCTTTTATGATGTATGTGTGTGGCTGTGTGTGTTTGGTTATTTTCTGACTGCTTCTAGAATGGAAGCCTTGAGGGAGAATGGATTTGCCTT